TGCTTTGGTTGGGTTTTCCTTGCCTTTTTCGTCTCATTTTCCCAACTGCTTTCATGGCCCAGTGCACACGGGTCCAAGCATTCGGGTATGTACTTATATATACATATTCCTATTTGGTAAAAACAAACACGAACTCCGGATTCCTATTCCTATTCCCTTTCGAATGCAGAACTTGGGGGCAGATGTCGGCCATAACTTAGATTGCGTGGGCCGACTTGAAACGATGACGTATTAAAACGCCATTCGGCGAAGCACCCCCGCCCATATCGGGGTCCCCTCTCTAATCCCCTCCAATTTCCCCTCAAACGAGGACGTGACACTTAAATTCGTATAAAAAGCATCGATCGATCGATGCGGGTTCTATATTTACCTAGGCGTGCGCATAACTCATGCTTATCCCCCTCGGCTGGAAATTTCATTATAATGCCCACAGAAAGCCCCTGTTTAGTTTTCCCCCCGCGAAATGCCAAGGTGTGGTCCTGTGGGCTCCTGAGAAATTGACGATGCACCGCAGACCACAGAAAACGAACCAAACCTATTAGTGTTTCCAATCTTGAACTGCCCTCGGAATTTTTCTTGGCTGACAAAGCTGATTAATGGCTCACACACACTCGCACAGTTGGCCTTTTGTTAATGGCTGCTCGAGAGTAATTTGAGGAAATGGTGGCTGTTGCTGCTGCAATGATCCCAGATGTAAAGTCTTTTGTCACCGACAGGTTTTCATTTCCCCCAATGTTGGACCCTTTCAAGTTTGTTCTGTTCTCAACTATTACAAACGAAGCTGTGGCGGAGCAACTCCAATTACCTGAATTGCTTCATTAGAGGAGATGACTGAGGGAACGGAAGGATTCCCACATAAGTCAGCAACTGGAAAAACAAGTTCTTCGAGGGGAGGATACCGAAAACACAATAGGCCCAGGGTTTCCTTCAATCCCTAAGTGAAATTGAGGGAAAGTTCTTTGGAATTGTGACGTTGAAAATGTCACAGATATACTCATAAATCTAAATAAAAGCAGTAAAACTATTTAATTAATTGGAGGCCAAGTTCCTTTCCTAAATACATCTTCATCCTCAAGAAATGCGGCTACCTCGTTGGCACTTACATTACCCAACGATTATGGCGCATAGTGCATCATAAGCACTCTAATCTCGCAATTAATCAGAAGAAATAATAAATTTCGCCGCAAGAACAGAACAAGAGTGCATTAGCCGACACCGCCAGCTACTTGTTTAATTCCGCGATTAAATTAATATTAACTACTCCCTGTCTTCAAATTATAGCAAAAAAAAGGTCGGGAAGTGGCCATAGTCACGCATTGCACGCGATGCGGAAAATGGAAAACGGCAAAAATGTCACACGCCACAGTCAAGTTTTAAATAAAACTTTTGTGTAAATTAAATATTAAAGTTAATGTGTAAAGTTTGCCTAGTGATGTGTAGGTTCGTTCTCACATATATGCACTGTGAAAAAGAGTAGTACCAAAAGTATTAGAATCGAACTTAAATAAAGAAACTGAGTATTTCGTAGTTGTTTCTATTATTACCTTTTTTTATTTTTTGAAATTGAAATGCTGAAAAATAAACTATACCTACTTTTCTGCCTGTGCGTCATTTCAGAAGGGAATAAACTTTGATGGGAATAAACTTCCAGCGATGGAAGGGAATCGAGTCGGCAATTGTCTGTGGAACGTGTGCGCTTTTAATTTGATTTTGTCTGGGCCAAATTTACATGTCTGCCGGCCCACTCCCACTGCCAAAAAAAATCGCGCCAGTCTGGCTGCCATTTTGTCCTTGTCTGTGGCTCTGTCATTCTGTCATTCTGACATCCTGTCGAGGTCCCCCGCGCCGGATCCTTGTAATCCAAACCCCTTTCGCCAATTTGCGCCACTTGGGCATTAAAACCGCAGATTAACAGCCTCACGGGGTAGTTAAAAAAACGCAGAAACAACACAACACTCGGAGAAACGTGTCATTTCGAATTTACCGCCGCCGCAGGCCGAAGTGAAAAAAAAAACCAAAAAATAATACGACAGAAAACGTGCCGATAACACGGTGTCGCACACTCCCGCTCACCACTCCTCATCAGAGAGAGAGATAGCTGGGTTGAAAAGAAAGAGCAAGAGAGAGCAAATGTAAATACAACAAGACCAAATAAAACGAGGGAAACAGAAAACACAGGGAATCGGAAATTAAACAAAACCGAAACGAAATGGAATTCGCTTATCGCGCCTCATAAATTAACCCTTGCCAGCCGTCGTCCATGTTCCGAGCGAGATAGCACCACATATGCAGACTGAGAGGGATGGTAAGTGGGTGGGGGGTGCTGAGGGATCTTAACCCCAGTGCGGGATCAACGATTATCTGCGAGATGGCGGATCTTCGCGCCCCCAGAATCCCCTGCCAATGACATTGATTGCCGCCAACAATTGAATTTAAACATTGATATTGCATTGATTCCAAGCGAGATGAGTTCAAATCCCAAGACAGCTCTGAATTCAGAAAGAGACCGCCTGGCGGGCGAGGAAAGAGACGGGCTCACAGATAGAGAGGTCTTTGTGGCAATAATTCAATTCACTGGCGGGCGAGATAATCGTGAGCCGCAATTATGGCTTGTAAAATTAATAAAAATAATATATTTTATTATTCCATTCGCGCCGATTTCGCTGTGCAAGGAATGCAAATAAATCGTGCCATGAAGATAGATAATAGCTTTGTCGACTTTAAAAAGAAATGAGTGATTTGTTTCAGAGAAAAATTCAAGCGTTTTTAAAGCTGGCGATAAATTAAGGAGAACATTTACAAATTGCAGTCACAACCATTCAAAACTGTAATAGTTAATTGAAAGTGTTGAAAGAAATGCGTTTGTATTATTTAAAACCTGCAAATTTTAACAAGTCTATTAAGCAATTCTTAAGCTGTGTGAATGAAGTACAAATATTAAAATTCAACATAAACGGTCTTTTACGACTTCTTTATGTTATTTGTTTAAACAAATTATTAATTGTCGTGGGAGCATTTGGCGAGGTAAATTAGTTATAAGAGCAGCTGGAGAATATTTATGTAATGTTAACAGCGCTATTAAAATTTAAGAAATTTTGTAAAATGTAGCTTTAAACTTAAAAAAAAAAAAACTTTTTAGTGGAGCGATCTCCTGATTGAAATCTTATACTCAACCAAAACACCACCACAGCAATCTATGCAGAATGGCAACTGGAACTCGGTGAGTTAATTACTTGTCAAACAGCGGCTGTTAGTGCTGTAAATTGCCCGAATGACTCCGCTCAACGCCAATGCCAGTGATTTATTTACAAAACAAACACCAGAGGATCGCCAGTGGCACAGGGGAAGTTCAGGGGGCTTGAACCCACTCGAATATCAAACGATCTGTGACGCCAAAAGCTGAGCCGTGGCACGTACTTCTGCGGCGGCAAACTCTGGCACGGACGCTCCGATTTCATTCCAGGTCCAGAGACCACAAGAGACCAAAGACCAGAGACCAGATACCCGAGACCAGAGGCCTCCATACCAAAACACCAGCGGGCCAGACTGTTGGGCCATGTGCCGCAATGTTTGCCCAGTGGTCGGGCACAATTAAACGGTTCGCAATTACATGCCACACGAAAAACAGGGGGTAGGCTGTTAATGTCACTAGGCGACCACTATGCGTATGCGCAATGTGGAGAGTTAAATGGTTGGATTAATTCATTGGATCGATAAAACATCATCGCGATTTTTTTAACCGTGAGCTAGGCTTGGGATTATTGTGAAATGCGAATTTTTAAATTAAAAATAGTATAAACTAACAATTTAAATAAAGGAAAGAATAAACAGGTATTGAGAACATTACAATTGATGGTTATGCAAATGCAACGCTTTGTTTAATTAGCCATTGCGGTCAACACTAATTGTTAATTGCTATTACAAATTCTGGGACCCACTTTAATCACGGAAATAAACCAAGCAGCGAATTAATAAACACACTTTGGTTCCCTATTGTTATTCGACTACATGCCCCTAATGCGAGCCCCAACTAATGGGAAGCGCCATTAACTCAAGTGAAATGAGCATACACATAGATGGGATTGGGATTGGGAATGTGAATGTGAATGTGAATGCCGATTAATGACCGGCTTTTGTAACCAGCAATTGACAGCGGCTACTCGTGTTTGCGGCTGCCCTTGTCGATTGTCGAACTAATTAAACGTTGAACATTATCGGGACCATAAAACGGGGATCGTTCGGTAGTGGCGCAACATTATGATCGTTATGCACGGCACAAGACCATGCGTAAAATCGTAAATAGATCATAAAACGCCTATAAAAAGACGTTTAACGAGGCCCAGAACAACGGACCCATCGCAGATCGGCGATCGCACAAATCGATCAATCGAGAGCCAGGCTCTGAGTGAGTTTTTCTGACACCGAGATCGACTCATTAGGTATTCGGCCAATTGTTATGGACAACAGGAGCTTGCAGTTTGGGGGGCCCCAGCCATAGGAATTGTGATTGTGATTTACGATCTTCGTCGGGTACTTGACCGGCATGGTTGAGTTATCGGTGCAACTTTCACGGAGTTGGGCAAATCAACATACCATAGAAAGCAAACAGTTGCCGGCCGTCCAAACCTTTCGGAAACCATTGGCTGCTTCGCATATTTGCCAGAAGATGACTCCGATAAACAATGAAATTATACAATGAATAAGACAGGGATGTGAACAAAGGCTGAGGGATTTATGACAGGACAGCAGGAGTCATGTGACGAATGAGTACGACGGCAGATTGCAGGCTGCATTTTACAAAGAAGGGTTTCGTTCGGCGGGTGAAAGTCGCCGGGTTGAGCAGGTAAATCATATTTTTCATATTTTTCAAGGCCATCTGGGCAGGCTCTAAAAAACAGCATTTTCCGGCATATTCCTCGGCCGATTAGTCCGATAACCCATTGGTTCAATGTCAGTCGGGATATTAACTCCGAGGGTTTCCGGTTAATTGCGGTACTTACCGTTGAAATCGCCGCAAACGACACGCTCGAAGGGGCTTCCCATCCAGTCTGAAAAAGGAGGAAGAGGAAAGTAATTAATTTTTGGTTTTTCTTCGAGTCTGTTCTTAGTAACTAAGGAGTTGTGCTCCTCATATGTGCAGCTAATGCGAAATTCCGCGCCAAAGAGCCTTGAGCGCATCCCGCTGGGTAATGGAGCGTCGATCCCTCAAATCATATATGTCCAGTGGCCCCTCGGACATTTGTGCCACATGGCGGCTTTCATAAACCACTCAATCGGGCCGTTTTCAATTTAGTTGTCAGCGCCAGCCACAAGAAGCAGCATTAGCCGGCCCACTGCAGTCGACAGTCGGCGGACCACCGGCCGAGTGAACCTCCGGCCAGTTGGACCGGCTCCACTTTAAGTAGACCACGCTGGTCGGGCTGGAGGAGGGGCAGATGTCGGCGATTTGGGCGGAGATATGGGGAGAATACTGGGCAAGACGCTGCAACATGGAAGGGGAGAGATGATGCGAGCCAACGACCAGACCGACTCCTCCTAATTAATAAGCAGATGAAGCTGCTCGGCATCGTTGGCGCATTTTTAATTAAAAACACAAATTTCTGGTCATTCGCCAGTCGTTGTTGCCACTTTATTTGACACACGGAAAGACGGACGGACAGGGGCACAGCCAATCTCTAATATGTGCAAAGATTCTGCAGGCCGAGACTCCTTTGTCGCACTGATGATTGCACAATTTATGGCACAGACGTTTCTTATCTAGCCGAGGCAGTGTTCTGACTGCACATGTACAAAAACTTTAATAAATACTCGCACCCATAACAAACTTCTAATATTGAAGGGAAGGAGTTGCACCTAAATTCTAAAAAGGGAAAATCATGGCTTCCAGAGTCCATTGTATGGTATGACTTGGAATATATTTGTAAAAAATGCTTATTCAACAAGAAGGTTTTACACGTTGTATCTGTAACCATATACATATTTTTTCTAGAACCCACTGCGCGTTTTCTTCCAGTGTGCCTACTTCTCAGCCTTTTCATGTCCACCTCCTTTCTCCACAGCGCGAACTCAGTTTGCGAATTCGCAGAGTGCAAGGCGATGGGAAAGCTTTGCCATTTTCACGCTTTGTCGGGCTGCGCTTTTCCAGATAATTAAGAAAAGTTAACCTCTTTGCTTTCTTATCAGCATAATCAGGTGCAGGCACGCCGCTCCAGCTCATTTCCAGCTTTTCCTGCGATTTCCCGCCCCTCCCCCTTTGGCAACATTGTTGATGTTGCTGCCGGAGTCGGTGCAACGATGTGAAAATGAAAATTCATTCAGACGCTTTGGCGTAAAATATTAAAATTCATTAGTTAAATTGCATTTGGCAAGCATTCAGCTGTAAAACGTTGCCGTTGTTGCAGCAATGCTTGTTGCAGTTGCTGCTGCTGCTGCTGCTGCTGTTGCTGTTGCTGTTGCAGTTGCTCATGTTGCCGGTGCGTCCGGGTCTGGGTCTTGGTCTTCGCCTCTGAGTTTTTTGGGTGGGTTCGCAGGCTTGGCAAAGTGAAAGCCAAGCGAAAAGACTTTTCCGAGGGGGGAGGAGCGATTCTTGGGCAATTCACATGCAACTGCATGGATATAGTGCCAAAACACATATACCAGTATTCGTATACACAGCTTTATGTATACTATAGGAGTAGCATGTGCATTTAAGGAGTGGAGGACAGAGGGGGCAGGGGCAGGGGGCTGCGGCGACGTGTCGCGCACTTGGCTGCCATAATGGCGTCATGCTCGTATTTACTTTCATCGCCGCCAGTCGCGTCTCTATGATCTCGTTGACAATTTTATCGCCTTGGCGCTGTGAGCGGGAGATATGCAAAATATTTCATTGTACGAAATACCGTTTATCTTCCCAACCGGCCGATGCTTCGGGTTTTTATTTACCATCAGGTTTTGCCTGCAGAATGTGTGTATGCGTGTTAGCCACATATTCATATCTTTCGGGGTATCGACGAAGCAGAAACCCACTAAAGTAGAGGAATGGATTTTTAATCTGCATAGATTAATAGGAGCGCTGGTTATCGACTTATTGACACCCAAATCTGGGCAAATATGCTAATTATAGTGGCAAAAAAGAGTGAGAATCTTTTGAACGCGTTTTATGTTCTAATATTTGGCCAACAAATGTCGCTTGCTAAACGTTACACCCTTAGGCACACTACCTTGCTGTTTCATATTACTGGCGTTCCTTAAACTCTGTCTGCTAGTCGTCAATTAACCATTTTTTATACTGTTAATTAACATGCCTATGCCGTAAATTCTGAGCAAATCCGTCGAGCGATCTTTTTCTATTACGACGACCGATGTGCAGTTCATAACTCAGGCCAATTGACAGTCTATTCATATGGTCTCTGCCATTAATCAGGAGGCATTCAACCCGCGGGGCAGAGTGGAAATTGAATTCGTTCAATTTCTTCTTGTGCACTGTGGAAATCGAGTGGCCTGATGAGAAATGATAAATAAATCTGCTGTGCAAAAATGCGCGGAAAAAGCGAGCGGATCGCGTAAATTAAACTGACCCACATAAATTTGAAGCGAGTTCGCTCGTACTACGTTAGCCGCATAAAAAGAGCGGCGGCCAAAAAGTATCTGTATCTGTATCTCTATCTCTCGACGGATATGCGGATTTTGTATGCGCGGGGCACATCCCAGTGGTTTTTGGTCGGCTTTTGGGGCTACACGTTTGTCGGTGTGGGGCAACCTTGAGGCTATTTAAATTACAAATCGACGCCAAACAACACGACAGTCAAGAGAAGCATTTCTCAAACTATTTTCATTTTTATTTACTGCCAACTTTTTAGCTCTTCGCTCATTTCGTTTACGGATTCGAATCGCCTGGAAGACTTATGCGAAATAAACGACTTGGAAGTGCTCCGCAAAGTGTTCATTATGGATTGGAATCGGAGGCGGAATGGCGGTGGAAATGGGAATGCTATTGGGGAACGTTTGCGCCACGTTTATCTATTGTTTATAAAAGGTACGGAGCAACCATTCACTCTTCTACACTTGGAAAATGAATTCTGTAATTCGACTGAACACTTTTTGAATTATACATTTTGGATCATACAGTTTGTAATGCAATTCGAATCTGGGTTTGATCCTCGAATCGTTTTATAAATTCATTTAGTGTCGTATAGTGTTTATCCTAATATAGCGCCACATTTTGGTGTACGATTAAATGACTCAATTAAACTCGAATATAAATTATAACAGTTTATATTTGCTTTTTTCGGTTTTCAGTGTAAGTGGCCATGATTTATACGTACACAAAATTCTAAGAGATCGCTTTGTAGATCTAGGAGCCAATTTATTCTTGATTTAAGACGATACACATTCCTTGAAGTGTACGGTTTATTTCTGATTTTATAATGATTGGCATGATATATTCACAAAATAGACACGATAGATAGACTCATTATTTTAAGGCCGAGTGATGGCTCAGTGTGATGAACTTGTTTTGGGCAATATTATGTGATTTTTTATTTTATTAATCGGATAATTTTCGATAGTTTTGAAGATTTTTGTAATGCGACTTGGGAAAATGCAATACACTTAAAGTCGAAACATCTCGACTTTCTACCCATGTAAAGTATGTCCCGAGATCAGTATAGCGATCGCTGACTCACCTGTAAGCGTCATCCAGGGATACCTGGGCAGATCGGCGATACCGGCTCCGCCCGCTCCCCCTGCCCCCGGCATCACGCCGGAGGCGGGCTGTGTGCAGGCGTTTCCCAGCGAGTCCACGCCGATCGCGCCGGCACTGGCCGCGGATACCGCCGATGCGGCGGCTGTGGCATGTTGATAGAACTGAGCGAACTGTGCGGATGCCGAGGCAGGTACGCTCATCGACTGGTAGCTGTTCATCACGGTGTCCGTGTACCTGCTGTGGGTGCGGAAGAGAAAAAGAGACCATTATTAGAACCAGGGTGATCCCTCCTCTTAGTATGCCGCATTCCCAACTCCAACTCGCGTTCTAAAGTCAAATGCTAATGAGGTGGCCATTGCATGCCCCTTTCACCAACTGCGGCTGGCTCTAATTGCGCACTAATCCCGAACACGCCCACGCACAGCAGGGTTCACTGTACATGCCCGTCGAGTGCCCATACAGTAGTACTAATATGCAAATGGCCGCAGCGGAAGGTCAGTGTGCGTGCGAATCTCGTGGCCGGCGACAAATTGCCAGCGGCCACCGCAGGCTACTCTAATTTTCCGACTTTATGGCCATTCAATATGAATGGCCGGTAGCTGGTAGCCGGGGCCCGATAATTAGAGCGCATTCGAAACGGATTTGCGGTTTTGCGGTGTTTGCAGATTTTACTGAAGGTCTGGACTGGCATTTCCGCTCGCCAAACTGAGAGCACGCGAAATTAGTTCTTGGAATCTAGTTGAGTGTTCCCTGTTGTATTTCCAACAACGGAAACTTTTTTCTTAAGGTTTTGAAGTCCGATAAGCAAGTGACTTTAATGCTAATACGTATTGGGTCAATAATAAAATAGGAAACTGTCTGAGAATGTTCTATCTGGGCTCCTAATAAAAGTGGGAATATTAAAAGAAAAGTATGGGACCATGTGCTTTCTTTTCCCACTATGAGCATTCAAGATTATTTTAATACGATTTGATATAAAACCCGTCCATGTTTACAAAAATTTGTATCCCATGTTAAGAGAGGGAAATCTATCTCACCTGCACGACTTATCCTCCAGTCCGGTGAACCCGGCCATTCCGGAGAGGCCTCCATGGCTGCTGGGGTGGTTAGACACGTACGGATACATCTTGCTGGTGGGGATGGCAAACGAGGAGCTAGCCGCAGCGGCGGCGGCGGCTGCAGCGGCGGCGACGGAACTGGCCGCGGATGCGGAGGCGGACGCGGATGCGGAGCCGGGGGAGTTGTCGTTGAGGCTGCGGTGCAGCGAGGAGCTGCCGGACGCCGAGGGCGACGGGGAGCAGCTGCTGTCGCCCGCTTGAGAGTTGCCCGCCGAGGGGGGCGTTAGCAACAGTTGCTGGTGGGCGTGACCGTGCGAGGCTACTGCGGCGGCGGCTAGTTTGCTAATGTGGTGTTGTTGCTGCTGGAGCTGAAAAGCGGCCGAGAGCGAGGAGTACTGGTGGTGCTGCTGCTGCTGGTGGTGCAGATGTTGCTGCTGCTGGTGGTTCAGGTGTTGCTGCTGCACCTGTGGGTGGTGCTGCTGAAAGGGCGACGACGAGGAGACGGGTGAGTGGGGCGATTGGCCCAGATGTTGGCTCAAATGGCTCGGCGATAGGGATCCTCCGCTCAAATTGAGATTGCTGTTGTTGTTGCTGCTGCTGCTTGGGCTGCTGCTGCTGTTGTTGGTGTTGTTTGCGTTGCTTCCAGCGATCGCGTTGCTGCTGTTGTTGTTGTTGCTGCTGCTGCTGGCTGAAACGCTGGCGGAGGCAGAGGCGGCGGCGGCGGCTAGGGCGGCGGCAACTGCTGCAGATGACGAATTCGGGGGGGTGGTGGTTAAGTGGTGCGAACTGATAAACGGCTGGAACTGTGGATACTTTGGCAGCATACTATCGAAAACAAATTTTGACATTGCACATATTTTGCTCTCTGGCCGAGGATCGGATCTTCGGAATTTCGTTTAGTCCACTTGTTGTTCTCTTTTAGTTTCGGAGATTTCTGAGTTCGAATGATTTGAGTTCTTTATCTGAGTCGTTTGGTTAATGGCTAGATTGAGTATTTCGTTTTAGAATTTGAAGTTTTCTTTTCGTGTGACTTTAACAAATTTTGTTTGAATTCAGCGTGGCTAGAAGCGCTTCTAGCCCTGATAAATCAAGATTCGAGTATTTGTTAGCTAATGTAAAACTTGAATGACTGCATAATTCAATATCTTGTTTTCTCTCAAACACAAAAGGTATTAATCAATATTCTTCAAAATTTAAAGATTTACAATGCAATTTAATATGAATCAATGTCTAAAAAATTTACATTTGTTATAATCATAATTAATTATTATAATTAATTAATTATAATGTGTATCTTTTCTACCGTCCCTTTTTGGCTTTATTACTTTATAATGGAATGCAAACTACATTGGAATCAGTATATAATTCACTGCCAAAATGGATTGAATTAAAATGTACTAAAACCAAAAATAAACTTGCCGTCAAATGTGATAAGCAAGAATAAAAAATGGCAAAACAAAATATATAACATGTTTATAGAAATTACTCGGAAAACATAAAAAGAACATTAACCAAATTGAATATGTTTGGATTGAACATAAATCTTTCGGGTAGCATGATACAGAACTCAAGGGGAAAATATATATAATCCCAATGCTTTATATATTTTTCAGCTAGATATCCCCGTTAGTGCCAATGAGTTAGTATGGGGCTACTTTTACTGTTTTTGTGGGGGTAAACCCCAATTAGTAACTATACGAGATGGCAAACAGTTAGTACCTTTTAGATAGAGTTAGTGAGACAGAATTCGGAAACGTTGCCACCTGCACGACTTTAAGCTACTTTTCTCGATTCCGAGAAGTGAAATGCATTTTGTTACCTTTCTCAAGTTTTCTCTAGCGAACTTTTGGCGAGCAGCTTGTATTTGCAGCTTTTCTGTTTCTGTTACTTTTTTCGCTCGAAGCTGGCGAATTCACAACGAAATTTGTTAAATTTGCATATGGTCTCGTTTTGCGTTGTTTTTCCAGCTGTGGCACAAGTGTGTGTGGCGCATGTGTGTGTTTGGGGTGTGTGTATCTTTTATTTGTTGTAAAAGCAATTAAAATGCGGTCATCAATTACGCGGAAATTCGAATGGACGTCGTGCCGGCGGGATTTCGTACATGTGATTTATAGGCGCGCGATCTTTTTTAATGGCACTCTTGTATTTTTATGGCAGAGTGAGTTTTCCTGCGGCTTTTAACGACTTCTCAAGTGCGTGAGTGTGTGCGTGAGGTCGGAGAAATGCTTTCTCCCAACGTTTTGCTTTAATTACTTTGTTTAAAATGCCATAAAACACTTTGCAGGTAGAACTATCGAAGTCTGGTACGGAAAGGCGAGAGCCTTTTACGATGTCAACTTTATGTCTTTTTAATTTTTATGAACCGCACACAGAGAGTTATAAACCGTTGTGCTTTGACAGTTTTTTCGGTTCTGAATTTCACACACAATTTTATTATATTTTACGCGATCTGTAACACTTAAGTGACAATAAGCCGGCGGCCGAAACGGAACAATAAACACTGCGAATCGGAAACTGAATCGTATAGCCGCACTACAGTCGTAGAGTCGTATAGTCGTATAATCGTATAATCCGAATCGGAATCGGAGGGCCGAAATTCCAAAGAGTGGAGAGCTGAGTTCCGCAGACACTACTGCGCGCCACGATAATAAATATTATAATAAAACGAAATTTTTAAAAGAGTATAAAAATTTCGTGTAATTGGTAATTCTTGCTGCCAGCGCGGGCAGCGGCGTCGACAGAAACGGCGGCAGAGCGGCAGCGACTGAGGCGCTTTGAGTCGTTGGAGACTTTGAGTTTTGTCTGTCTACGGAGGGGGTTTTCCTTTATATTCTTGGTTTCTTGGTTTTCTATTTTCTGTTTTCTGGGGAGACCGCTTTACGCGCGAGAAGAGAAGCGAAAGCAAAGCCGCTGCGAAACGTCGAGCGTTGTGGCGTTACGAGCAGCGAAACGTTTATGGCGCAATACAAAAGCCATGCGAGCGTTCTTATGGGCAAGTTTGGATGCTGAGTTTGTGACAATTCATTTTGGCTCACTCCTCACTCGAATGACTCGACGTCGACTGCAGCAGCGGCGGCAATAAGAAAGATGGCAGCGCAGCCAGCTCATATGTCTGTCCCGCTCCTGCTCGCACGCACTCAGGCCCAGCACCGCCACTGCTCTCTCTCCTTCTCGCTCTCTCGCATGATGGCCGCCTCGCTGCTTTGAGTGAGTAATTTCCCGAATTGAGTGCCTAATTCGACTCATTATAGTATAAAGTGAGAATGTACGAGTTGAGGTGAAACTATCGGAGCCCCGCTTTGAGTGCTATGCTTTTTTAAGTGTTTTATGCTTTGTTTGGCAAAATGTTATTGTTGATTAAATTACCGTGCATTATTCATTTTGAGTGCGCTGGTTTTGAGTGAGTGCCTTTCTATACAAATTAGCCGAAATTTGTATTTGACTTTTTTATGGGATCACCCTCTGTGGTGTAACAAAAAATCCTCATATTTCGACAGATGAAAATGCCGACTCGGCAAAAACACAAAAAGACAAAAAGGCACTGCTTCTTCTTTTTTCGGCCGCCGCCTTTTGTTCGCCTTTATTTTCTCTCTTTTCTGTTGTCACTGGAATTGCTGTTATGACATTTTTATGAAAAATTTAAAATTTATGTTTGAAATTGGACAACACACAAGCATTTCACCCATCCCTCTCCCCGTTGCTCTCGTCCTCCTTCGTAGCGCAAATTTGTGCGGAAATAAAGCGAATCTGCAATTTCTTAACTTTTCCACTTTGAGAACTTTGCTATCTGGCATTTCGAAGGATTTTACATAGTTCGTTTCAGGAAAAAATTTGATGAGACGCTCTGAGTGGAATTAAATTTATAAGCTTTAGCGATTAGTCCAATATATTTTCAGATATAGGGTCAAAGGAGATGTAATTGAAAATTACAAAAGAAAACAAATTTTATATGTATATATTGACTTTACTTATGAAGCTAGATAAGAAGCGATTTTTAAATCATGAATGCCCTTTCTTTGAGTATGGGTTTTTAGAAATAGTAGAAACAATGTATTAACAACCTTTTAAGTTAATTTGTTTTTTATTCTTGTATTTTATCATTTATAACATACAACATCACAGCATTTTCTTATCTATATATAATAATGTTAAAAAATCGTACATTTGATTTGTTTACCTTAATGCACAGTTTCTTAAGCATAACAAATAATATAATCTTATAAATAATATCATAATATCATAAATTATTTTATAATTATAAATCTGCCCACTCTTGGGCTATAACAATTGAATAATTGATCCATCAGCGCAATGGCTATACAATCAATTTTTGGCAAAATGGCTTGTTAATTCTTTAATGACTAAGGATGTATAGTGGTAAAGGGCAGTATGGTGGAAGGGCAGTAAGGACGTTAACGGGCCACGAGTGCTTTAGAATTAATTGCTCATAAATTCTAAATTAAACGTTTTACCACACTTTGGTTTTTGTTTATGGGTCATATAGCGAGTGCGAATGAGTGGACTTACTCATGCACTGAAAATAATACTGGGAATTTCCATTTTTTATAACAAATGAAGTATAATTCTGTGTTACTGCAAGAATCAGACTTAAATTCAACCATATTTTTATGATATAATGATAATGTACTTAATAGAAGTCTTACTTAAGCTACATTGTATCAAGTTTCAAAATATTTCCTAATCTAATTGAACAGTTGTCCCCGGGGATTGCCAGCTTATCATAGAAGCCCGATTAAATGCTTTATTGCTGTGCTGTATTTGTCATTGAATGCAGTGCCCAGCCGCCCAATAATTGAAAGAGATTTACTCAGGCGAAGGGTTATTGTTTTTCGAGTGTACTGCTGCCCAGATACTCAGCCCCTCACAGCGGGCTGTGATTTACTGCCTTTGCCCCGGGGTTATGGGATGTGAGCCCGTGGCAGGTGGGCCGCCCAACGACCGGAAAATGTAAAACGCCCATTTTGATAATCAAAACAAATAATAAAACAACTTCACACGTTAGTCTGACAGAACTACTGGCGCAAGAAAAACAGCAACAGCCATAACCAGCGAGCGAGCCCCATTAAACGATAATAACCGCAATAAACATATAAAAATTGAGGCGGTGGGAGGAGTGGAGCAGCAACGAAATGCAGAAAAAGTAAATAAATAAAAGAAGCGTAATTTCCAACAATAAAACACTATTTTGACTTCCCAGGGATCAGTGTCGAGTTTCGGTCGAGTCGAGTCGAGTGGATTTGCTCTGCGCTGCGTTCCGTTGAGTCGGTTTTCTGACTTCGGTGGTGGTGGATTGCGTGGGCACTACGTGTGATCCTCGGAATCGTTAAACAAAAGCGGAACAAACCATAAAAACAGCTCCGTTTGTAATCTCTCGAGCGACAGGTTGTATCTATAACAAAATAGGCATAAAATGAATGGAAACTCTTGTAGAACCAAAAAACACGAATAAACTCTTGAATGGGTGAATGAAAGTTAATAAAAGTAGAGTAATTTAATTGCTATGGGCGAAACAAATTGTTGTGTTTATGGTAGTACATTATTTTTGAAACCATTTTATTAATATTATAATCAGAAGCTAGTTTACATATTTATCATAACAGTGTAATAAATGTATTATGTTTACAACTTATCAGACATTAATTTTAGATATATTATAATTTCTTTGGTGGAGTTCACTTTTATTCATTTTTAAAGGATTTATTCATTTTTCATATCATAAAGCTTTCTTCCTGTATGTCATTGGCACCGATTTAAGCTCACGTTTAAGTAACAGCAGATTTGTTGTATGGTCGAGTCCTATTTGAAAAAAATGCATTGTGGCATTACCCATATGAATCGTTGATTTCAAATCGATTAGAATGCTTACGGCTATAAATATACTTTCACAGCATTACATGGCTACAAACACTACCCAGTTATAGATGCATTCATGTCGCACTCGAAAATCCATTCATTTAACAGGCTGCCAGCCAGTTTTCTTTGTTGGTTCCCACAACCCGGGAACTACTATGGCCAATGCGAGTGCAATCCGGCGCTGAGTGCGGATCGTAAAAGCCGCTAGAAGACAGGAGTAATTGCCCATAAAAAGACTGTAAAGTATTTCGGCTCAGAGGCGAGTGCAGGAGTGAGTAATGAGGCCTGAATCAATTGTCACTCGCCATAAAATCAATGGCATTGAGTGAGACTCGACTGGAGTGAAAAGTGTGGCTCCGTGGCAGTGGTTGAAATAAAAAGTAAAAACTCCCTGCACATCAAGTTCGTTCCCTAATTTGATACACTTTTATAGCGTCGGTTTACGGCTTGTTTGGCCGTGGTTTCCCCTCCCCGGATCGCCTCCAGCTGACGAATGAGTTCTTCCGACGATTACTAAATGCCTTCTCACGCAATCATTTTTTAATCCCCGATGCGGTCGGGTTTATGGGTCACCCCGAATCTGGGTCTCCGTGTCATCGTCATCACCACGGCAGCGATCTCGAGTCACCTTCAAATTACTCAATAAAATATATACGAGTGCACACCTAATGTCCGCTTGTCTGGTTGCGTGTATTTTCCTCTTCATTTATTGCTGTTTAATTGCACTAATGATATACTGACTCGTTAGTGGCGCAATCAATAAATACATATGTTCGTGGGTTACGGGATAAAGTTCATGACAGAATAATATGTGGGTCTTACGTCTAGAGGATACAAGATTTAACTCACCATTTTTGCTGAATAATGTTTGTCTAAAATAAAAAGAAAATATTTATTATTAGGAGAGAACAGGGTGATATAAGTTTAGACGATAATAACAAATTGGGACACATAAATATTTTGTTATTGCATCTTTAAGCAAGTTCGAGTCATTGAAGGCGCTTTAATCTCCATGTCCGTTATGATTTTATTAATATTAATTTCCACGTAATCTTCTTAGAAGAACAATGAAAACCAATAATTAAATTTAAATATAATTATTTAAATTTAATAACACCGTCAACAATAAAATATGTCTTCTAATTAATACCTTTTGAATAAAGTTTTAAACTTTATTGATGTTCTATTTTTATGTATGTACGGAATTAAATGTTTGGACATAAAATACGCGTCTAGTTATATTACTACTTTTCTTCTAATTTCCGAAGGTCTAGAAACTAAATTAGTATCTCCCCCTAATGTTTTCCCAGGCCGTGGCTAACTGACTGAAATCCGACATCCCAATCGCCGTGTTTTCGTCATCGCCCGGGATGACGAGCGTGTTTTATAGGCCTCAACAAGGTATTAAAACACACGCATACGCCCCGTTGGCGAGGGGGGCTATTATGATACCTGCGGCGGTGGTTTTCCAGTTTTCCAACTTTTCCGCTTTCCCTCAGCTGGAAAAAGGCGGAAAAGCGAGCAGCAGGGGGAGGAAGCTAGTGGGCCTCAGATGGTCTCTCGCTGCCGATTCGAAAGATGGGCGATGATGGGCTCGCTGCGAAAGGAGATTTCAATATCATAAAAAATCGTATTAAGAGAATCTCATATTGGGAATCGTAAAGTTTTTACGACCGTTTAATGGACTCTTGCAGTAAGCGTGAGTATTTACGCGCTGCTTAAAAGCGGTAAAATATGGCCAAGTGGTGTTGTGGGACAGCAGAAAAGAAGGCGCACGCACCGCGAAGGACACGGGTGTACGTAGATAGAAATGCGAAAATGCAGATGTTGCAGATGGAAAGCTTCAATTAGAAACCAAAAGCAAGTTGGCCATCCAATTATTACCGGGAAAAAGTCGTTAAAGGCCAATGCACAGGGGCGACATCTGTTAGCCGTCAGCCGAAGTGCCCGACTATCCAGGGCACATCGGCGCCATCTGTATTCCGTTCGCCGAAGCACTCAACATTTATAGAAACATTTATGGAAACTTTTTTATTTTTTAAAGGCTTTAATTTAAATAAGGATAACATTAATTTAAATAAACCAAGTATCAAGATCGTTTTACAGAAAGAAAGGATAACGTTTTATAATTTATAGTAGTTATACAGTTCGCTGTTTAACATTGAATTGATTGAAAAGACTATCCATGCACTATCCATAATAGAATTTTTAAATTATAATAACCTTAATAAAAACAAATTAAAGTTTCAGTATAAAACAAGTTTCAGTACTATAAAAAGAAATAAGTAAAATAAAATGTTTAATAATTTCGTTTATAGGGGGGTGGGCTCGTCAAGCTGTTACCAGGAAACGGCAAATTAACGAAGGAAAGAGAAAGCAGAAGATTTTTCTATGCGAAAGAGAGGTCCTACAACGATCGCTAGTGCCAATTGCTGGGCGTGGCAAGTGATGGTGCTATTATTGGTTGAGATACATGGGAAGGACCTTTGGACTAGCCTACCTTTTAGTGGTTTAGACAGAAGTGGACTGGGTACGTTAAAGCAGAAGAAGAGTTATGGTAACTGTTGTGGTGCCAGTTTCAGTTATTAGAAACAGTTGCTTAGCAGTTCAAATAAAAACGGAATACGTCTTCATCGATTAGTAACAATATAAAATATTCAAAACATTTCGAAAATGTGTTTATAAAAGGATTAAAGAAAGTTAAGATCTCTTCAGTTGTGTGCCTAATTGTCAGTGGGTTACTTATTATTTATTGCCATTTTATGTAATATTTTAAACTCCTATGAAATCCTCCTTTAGAAAAAATTAAGTTTCTCTTGGAATCCATAGTAAAGCTGGCAGTATACTTGCGATTTAAATGCCTCAACAACTTAATGAATGTCTGGCCGGTTAAATGCTTAGGAAATAACCTCAGATTGGCGAAGGAAAACAGCATTGTGTCCTATTAGGTACAGCCATTCTATTAATCATTACTTGCCGTATTCAATCGCAGACAGTGCAATCGATTCGGTGAATCTGGTCGGTCTAGTGGAAATCTCAGCCCATGTCACCAAATGGCAGCGCGGTTAACTTGGCTGATTGAATGTCATTCGTAGGTGCAGTCACGTAGCATCCTACCTATAGACTTTGGGCCCAAACAAATGGAGGAATTATGGTGACAACGACCCGACGACTTCATTAGACGCGGCCATCCATCAGCCGGTGGAAAGGGTTATTTGACTGCTGGAAAGGATTTCCTACAATTTCCACCACTCGGATAAATCATGCGCCCAATCCCTCGAAGTTCACTGTGAGAAAATTCCAATGCTATCCGAATAACATTCAAAGTGATTTTAATGTTTTTTTTCCTAACAGCGTGTTATACTAACACCATTTTTGAAAAGGACTATTTTTTATCCTTTGTGGTACGTGTATGCCATCATCGGACTACAACTTCTAATGCCATTTTCTTTGTGTAGACTGTCGAATAAATCAGAAAGTTTGAGCAGTGCCGCTCGTAAAACGGATTCCGTCGAATGTTTGTTAATTATGGTTTTGCGTAACTCTCGCATTCGTTGCCCCGGGTCAGAACCACTCGTGAGTGATTTGTATTTGGGCTCGTTAAAGTGTCCAGCGGAATGAAGTGCTGGCCAATGAGTTTGTTCTCAAATGCGGCGGCACGATCGCTGAGCATCTTCGCCCATTCCCGCCATTCCGTGGACGCATCTCCGGGAAAAGGCACGTTTTTCAAACGCAATTTGCAACAATTTAAAGATTTTTGCGCCAGCTCCAACGGCCGATAGTCGAATCGCCGAAGATTGCTTAGACTTTTGATGGGCTCGTTGGAAGGGCAAATGCTCAGGGGCGTTTGGAAAAGGGGGAGTGGCGCTAATTGGGGGGAAACTGAGAAGCGGATAATCGAAAGCGCCGCATCTGGTTGCGAAATGTGAGCGATTTTGGAAGTTTAACAGGCGTCTACAGAGGGAAACAGAATTTTTTTAGCCAGTTGAATTACAAAACAAAACAAGGGAGAACGCCATAGTCGAGTTCCTCGACTATAAAATACCCCACAAGCAACAAAGGGAGGGCGAAGGAAATGAATTTCTCACAGCCTTAAGGCCTACATACATAAGTTTTTGTTATTTTAATGGTTTCTTGAAAAGAAAATCTAAAAATGATTAAAAATACCATTACCGAATGATTCAAAATAGTTTTGGGGATGTTTTATATTTACATATGAAATTCATTTATTGTTTGACAATATTTAAATTTAAGGCTACGAGTAACACTGAACATTACACTTAGTGCAATTAAAGTAATGAAAGTTTAATCATATTAATTACCCTAATTCGCTGTGAAACATTTCATAAAACAAGTTCCATTACAAGGCGACTGATTGTGCTCATAAATCGAGTTAATGTAAGCATTAAGAGCGAATTGGCCAGTGCGACACTCAACGCTAATTGCTGAACTCAATGCGATGTCAGCAACATTTGCATGTTTCGGTTTCAAATTACTTCCGAATCGATTGGACGTAATGGGCATAAGTAATAAGAGGACTTGGAGCACTTGCATCTCCACTTAACTGTCCGGTGGGACAGGGACACTCAGGTGACCTTTGGCCCCACAACGAGTCTCCGAAGAGCTACCGACAGATTCACACGAACGGATAGTGGTTTCTGGGGATTGGATGGGGATTCCGTAAACCGGATCAACCACATCGGCGGTGCAATGGCGCAGGCAAATGGCCGTGATAAGAGCACCGCCTCTCCACCGCCATCGTTTGTGTTGTTCCGAGGTCTTTTGGTTTTCATAAATAGATTGAAATGAGCCTTTGCCAGGGCGTATTCCATATCATCCCTTCGACTGCGCACATCTCTTTCTGTTCCTGCGCATTTCTCCCTGACTCAAAAATCCCAAACGAAAACCCGTTTTTACACCGTAAAAATGCCATGCAGATATTATGTTCCATTGGGTTTCATTTAAGGAAACAGTAATTATCTACACATCATTTAAATTAAATTTTTTTAAATTTTAAAATATATATACTTAAACATATTATAAATAAAAGTAAGATAAAAGCATAGTTTAAGAAGAATATACCTAAGTAAATAAATTCAAAAATAATTTCCATTGATGTTATGTTCGCTTTTCTCTTGTATTTGCGTTCTACAAAGTGTGATGCATTTTTCCAAGTGCAATTTCTTTTTGACTCATCTATGCGGTCATCGAGGAGGTCGAACTCTTGCTAGTCCAAATGCGATGTTTTTGTCATTTAATGCCTGGGTCATAGTCATCCGATTATCGATTGACCGACTTACTGCTGCCTGCCCGAGGAATCAAAGAAATTCAATTGGAAAATTGAATACCAATGGCTGACAAAGTGCCGAATAAATTATCGTGAGATTAAACAGCGAGCACCTCATAATAATGGTAGTATCCCACAAAGCAACTATTTAACCCTTTGCATATACTCCCTGAAACCATTTATAATAACCTCCTGGGAACCGCATACCAGGTTCCCTAATTTCTCCGACTGGCTGGCGAATTTACGTGACGCTGACACTTGCTATCTGGAGCCATAAACTCAGGGGCCTTATCATCGGCGGCAGCCATTAAAAGGGAGTTTTACTGTAGGACTGACCGCGACTTTAAAGCGAGCGCACGAAAATTATGCGCACAGCCGGACATGCCGACGGTCCTCCCTTCTACACAGGAAGAATATACTTGAACTTGAATTACAATACCGTTTTTACGATATTAAATAAATTTGTTTTTAAATATTCGGTTTCGGTTTTATCAATCCTATTTTGGGGACTGCAACCTTATTAAATGGTATAGATCTTGTGAAGACACTTTTTTATACATTTATTTTCCTTAGTGAAACCTTGTAGATACTGTACATTGCCCCTCGGGCGAAACATGAAATTTATGGGGGCCGCGGCTCCCAGTGCAATTATGCTGCGGATTATCTTGGCGAAAATAAATTGGCCAGCGCTCGCGCCTAACAAAGTCTGCCACTGGGCAATGGCGGTGGCAGCTCCGTTTCGGCGGCAACATCGCGTGCCACACATCGAGACGTGATTACGCCCCGCTAGCAATTCAGTTGGCCACATTATGCATATGCATATGCATGTGGATGTGCGACGCATCACTTAACTCACCTCAACGGCCATTTAGCATACTTTACAGGTGCTTTGCGGAGCGATTGAGACGTCTCGCATAGACGGTGGAGAGCTTTCAGGACTGGCGGACAAGCAAATTGCTAAGCTAGAATTTTAAAATTCCAGTATCGATTTAAGCATGACTGCCACAGATCCTTTCTGCTGAAAATCCTCTATATACGCTGAATTCGAGCCACAAGCTGAACTAAATGTCTAGGTCACCAAAAATCCAGCGATTTATGGCAAAATGCAAATGATGGTTATTTGAAGTCATATTTGAGCTTCGCCATGTCAGCAGTTTTGAATTGTGGTGTGCAACTCGTTCCATATTCATTGGATGTATGCCCCTTAAAAACACTTGGGTTTCTAACGCCCTATCATATATATGTATACCATATACATATATTTAAAGGATATTTGAGTCTAGCTTCTGCGCCTTGAAATTATCCTTTATCCACCCGACAATTGCGCGGAATTGCGTGTTTTCACTCTCGGTTTCCGGTTATTCTCGACCCATAAATCACAATCAAAAGGAGCAGAACCACAAAACGTGTGTACGCCTTTCGTGTCCGAGGGAGTGAAGGAATCCAGATGGACTTCCGAGTCCTTTCTGCTTGCTTCCACCGCTGAAGGGTTAAACTGTCCAATTGCGAAAAGGGTCATAAAATGCCGGATTTTCGTTTCGGGAACCCCGCGAGTAGTGACAATAAAATGGCAAACAAAAGTCGCAGGGTGACCAGTTCTCGAAACCCCTTGCCCAGGATATATGGTAAAAATATGGAAGCGGTCGGATCGACAGAATGTCACACCACGTTGTCGCGTTTTACGACCGCCGCTCACCTTTTGTTTGCCAAGTTTATGGCCCCCAGCCCTCCGTCTTTCCCTGGTCCTTTGCAGCCGAAGTCCGCCATTTAACCGCTTCGCTCTTTTGCCAGAACCAAGCCGACTCGCAGCTGAAAATACGGCCAAAATAACCAAGTTGGCAGTTTTTTTAATTTATCGATTCGCAATAGCGTTGCTGTTTATAATTTCAAAGAAAGAACAGAAACTTGCTCACCTTGGCCACAATCGGTAACCGGTTGCAGTTTTTGGCAAATGACTATTAATAGTCTTGACCTTCAAGAATGTGGGCTGCGTAAAAAACTGCATCTGGAGAAAGGATATTCCCTGGAAAATGGGTAACAGGTATACCACTGTCCGTAAAAAACACAGTTGCCCGTCTAATTGCGCAACTCAAGGACTTTAAAACGCGGCAGGACTTGTTCTGTCTGTAATGCAGCCCGTGCAATTCGCATAACCCTTAATGTAAACCGGTGAAGGACATGGGGATGTCCTTGAATCGGGATTCCATTCTACTGTTGTTTATTTTATTGTACCTCATACACTGTTTTTCACCAAATAATATAGCATGTTTCCTTATATACACACAATACTTTATTTTGTATATACATAAACGTAAATGTACATTCAACTTTGGGGCTTGTGCTTGTGGGCTTAACATGTTTATTATTTGAAATATTTGTTTGCCTATTTAAAACTGTTTCCATCTCTTTAAATATTTTCGGTTAATACTAACAACGAGAAAGAATTAAAAAGCGTTAAATTAGTTAGTAATTTATACCACTTAAGATGTGAAAGGTGAACAAATTACGTTTATGCTCAAATTAAAATGGCTTGTTCGATCGAAATAATACGGTAATAAATTTATTATAACTTGTGCTGTGAAACCGAACCAACTGGCCAATTAAGTCCAATCAAAATGGAAGTAGCCGTAAAAATACAAATAATAACGAACGTAAATGCGTTATTGGGCAATTCTACGAGATCGCCACAGCTGAAGAGCCGATCGGCAATCTGATTCTGAATATAATTTCGGCTGGCTCGTTGACAACGCCTCACTGTCCGCCAAATCATTCATAATTCATTTTGTATGCCGCATAAATGTTTTTACTATCAATAAAAGCGCAATCAAATTAACATTAAACTTATTTCGCCGTGGTGGTGGCTCTTCGCCGGAATCGAAAAGCACGTAATTATTATAAAATATTCCGCCATTCCGTTGGACCATCGCATTCTTTCACTTGTCTGGGCCAGCCGTGATTTCTGTTTTCATCGTTTGTTGTGTCAAAAAGCTCCCAAATCGTATCATTAAAAATAGAAATTGGCTGTGATCTGTGTGGGCACCATCTTCCCCAGTGGTTTTGAGGTTTTCGCATTCGCTTTAATTCTAATCGGAAATGTGTCGACGCCACGGAGCTCGTTGACATTATATTTACAATAGCAGAAATGTGCAATAAAATTAAATGAACGGCTTATGTAAATGCCGAGTAATTGCGGACGGACATTTGCTGAGAAAAGCACGG